TGGGTGTGGGTGTGGGTGTGGGTGTGGGTGTGGGTGTGGGTGTGAATAACGAGAGTATTCACACCCTCACCCTCCAGAACGAGAACACTCCTTCTCAGAATTTATTTTCTGTTTGTCTTGAGATGTAAAGTGATTGAGCGTATGGTTGTGCGATAAGGATTTTGGATCTTCGCCAAGAAGACTTTCGCCACTGGTGAGAGTTCACTGTACATTCGCCCATAGACCCGCTTGAAATTCGCCATCTGGCGAAAGTTCTCTGAATTTTCACCAACACTTCTTCTGGCATTTCCCCAATTGAATTAGGGATCGGACTCATATATATCTTACGTTAACATTGTTTTGTGACATCTGGCGAAAGTCCACTGTACTTTCGCGAATGCCCTCTCTGGAATTTTGCCAATTGATGAAAGTACAGTGAACTTTCGCCAATATATTCTTGGATTTTCGTCGTTGACGAATTTCCTCGTGGCGTAAGTTTTATCGGCGAAGTTCCGGTAACTCATAAATGGGTTTCATTTGAACTCCGAGGGAAATTTCGATAAAAAAAAATAAAAAAATTCTAATACTTGATAACTATTCAGATTATTCTACGAGAACAACTAAATCTTTAACAGGAATTAAAAATTATTGTTTGTGTTTCTTGAAATTCGTTAAGTTTTTCATCTGGATGACAACTCAATCAAATAAAAGCTTAAAAATTAAATGGAACAATCCATAATCTACCAAATAATGTAGAAAAATAACGAATTATTGATTTTGTTGTGTAGAAACACATCAATCAGAATTAAAAAACTATACTAAAACTAAGTGAATCCTTCTTTACTCATCACTTCATCTCTTTAATCAGTCTATCTTTTTCACTATCATCTAGGTGAGTTTTGATTTCCATCTACATAATTTCATTTTTATTAATATAATTCTTCTCTTCGTCTTAGATTCATCGCATCGCATCTAATACAATGTAGATAAGTCCAGCTTTGTACTTTAACTAATCTTCCATTTTAGTTCTAAACCGTTAATAAGAGAGTTTCCGTTACGGAGAAATAGTGGATTATTCATAAATGAAATCTTATGAGGTGTTACGGATTGATCGTGTAAACAACGGCTAGTAATGTTGTCAGATAGGTTGGCGTCGTGTGCATCAATACAATAGAAACGAGGATGTAAAGCAATCGAATCATATTTATTGAGAAGCAAAGAAAAAATAGCATTTGTATAGTGTTTTAAGTATTTGAGATGATGTTAAATTTTTGTACACGATGGTTTCCACTATCGACGACATAGAGATTGCCGTATCGATCGAATGACAAACCGAAAGGTGCACTGAGTTGGTTTGATTGCCCTCCTGGGCCATTTCCACCAACAATAATACTTCCCTGTGTGGCTCCTTTGGGCCAACGCATAATCCGATCATTCCATCCATCAGTCACATAGACAGTACCCAATTGATCGACAACGACTCCTAGAGGACCTGTCAATTGTGTAAGACCATTTTCTTCTCCTTGACCACCAGCTACAACAATGCCCTGTGTTGCACCTTCCATCCATTTCATCACACGATGATTCGACCAGTCAGATACATAGATTGATTGATCTCGATCAACGAATACATATTGTGGGCCATTGAGTTGATCGAGATCACTTCCACTTCCATTGCCACCTGCCACCACTATACCTTCTGATTCTCCTCTTCGATATCGTCTCACTTCATGTTTTACATAGTCAACAACATAGAGAGATCCATTCTCGTCCATGGTCAAGCCCACACAATTGATGTTAGATATGATTGTTTCTCCATTTGTCCCATTTTGACGAGGCCATCGAACCACTCTTCTATTCAAACCATCGCATATGATGAGACTATCTGTCTCTTTGTCAACAATCACATCACATCATATGGGTTAGACAATTGATGAGTTTCACTTCCTTGTCCATTGCCACCAGCAACCACTAGACCACTCGTCGCACCAAATTTCCATTCCACAATACGATGATTCGACCATTCAGCGACATAGATTGTTTGTTCATCATCAACGAACAGACCATATGGGTATGAGAGTTGATTGATTCCAGTGCCTAGCCCATATCCTCCAGCGACAGTAAAACCATTATGTTGCCATCGAGCACTTGGATGAATGTCAATTGCACTTCCACGTAGTGGATGAACTAAAATAGAGAGAGAGGAACGATAGGATCCTATGATAAAATAAGAGAGAAAAGAAAAGGAGTAACACTATAGAGAGGAAAAGTGAAAAGTCCATTGGAATTATTGTGAAATTAACATCGTTTCAAGTTCTCATTCGTTTTCGAATTTCTCTTCTTAATAGGTTTTTTCTGTGTTTTCTTTTCAGGAAGGTGACACTATCAAATAACTATCTATATCGAGTGTACCAAAAGTTTTGCGACATTTGGCATTTTTCAAATATTTCAAAAGAAATCAAACGTATAATCTTGATTCTTTTTTTTTAAAACTCCTATTGAGTTTTTCTGATGGTGTCTCTTATACTCAAAATGAATAGATTCAATGATGGTCCAATGTCCCAGAGTATGAAGTATTTGAATGACTGTTTCTTGTTTGCAATTGGAACTTGCTCATAAAGATTTTATAGAGCTCTCGACGGCGCATCTTTGAGAAAAAAAAAGATCGAGACGCTATCATTTTCTAAAGTCGAGATATTCGCAAAATAAAAAAAGAAGTTCTGCTATTCTACGTAATTACAGTGGTACATAACACACGTCATGTGACCTATTCACTTTGAGTATCGGAGACACTATCTGTGAAAGTGAATTGAGATTTGTTCATTACAGTTTTTGTAGTCTTTTTCAAAGCGCATCTTTCGAAAAAAATGCAAGCTCCTGTCATTGTTTCAAGGTGAAATGTTTGCAAAACAAAAATGATCATTCAAATACTTAATACTGTGGAACATTGGATCTATTCATTTTGCGTATAAGAGACGCCATCAGAAAAACTCAATAGAAATTCCTTTTTATAGTTTTGTAGAGCTTCTTACGGCGCATCTTTTGAAAAAAGAATCAAAATTATGCGATTGATCTCTACTGAAATATTTGAGTGTTATTTGTCTTCTCTTTCTACCGATTCCGATCTCGATACTTTTTTTTGAAAAGAGAAAGAGATCACGGTAGTCATTCTTTCACAAATAACGAAGATTTTTTTTAGTTTTTTAAGAAATGTGATCATGAGCATTTCTGTACATATATATATATAGAAAACATTGAAATGTCACATCCTTTTATCGACTAATAGACAGAACGGCAAAGAATATGAGCACTTGAGAAAAAAAAGAAAAAGAAAAAAACTTCATTATATTCATGTAGATTGTAATAAAACCTCTCCTTTAAAGATATATTAACAACTCTATTAAAAATATTCTATTGCTTTTCTTTTTAATATCAAAAGAACTCGTAAATGTTTGTAGACAGACTAAGAAAGAGATAATAAAAACCTCATATTTCTACATTAATTGTCAAAAAAACAAAATTAAGATTATCAGATATTGAAACTATTTTATTTATTTTCTTGTGTTCATTAAATGTATACTAAAGAGTTTCTCTATTTTTTTCTCATCTTCATATCATTTCTCTACAAAATGTTAAGCTCATTACAAATTCATTTATTTTGCGTATTGTGTTGTTCTTGGAAAGTCAATCCATTCTTATGTTACATTTCTTTTCATATATCGTTTTCCTTTTTTTGATGAGAAAAATTAAAAATAATATCAAAACAAAGAGTTCAAGAGAAGAAAAGATATAGTATTATCCTGACGTATTTTTACTAGTTAAGATAAAATCCTATGCTTACATATCGTTATTTGGAACTCTTAAAAGATTCGTCTTCGGGACCACAGTTACCAACGAGAATTAATCTTAACAGAAAGTATGCTTTTTTTGCATAATAAAAGATTTCAGTTCCATCAAGCGAACTAAACTAAAGTTTCACTTACGATAGGGGTTTTAATCCATAAACTGAAAATATGTGTAGACTGAGAGGTGTAGAATCTGCCGGTAAAATGATCAAGTTTGCGCAAACGGGGAAATTTTTTCGAAAACTTTTCCAGGTAGGAGAATAACAAAACACATTTTTTACGTCATCATGCTCAAAAAGTTTCCCCAAACACCCGTTTCCGCACACGGTTAGATTCTGCATCTCTGGTTTAGACTATATCATTACAAAAATATAAAACTTGGGATTGTTCCAAAAAGAAAGTTAACATTAGTGAACAACTTTTCGACACAAAAATTACAGTTTTTATTAATTATTTTGCACCTAGAACTAAAAATCAGACTAACAAGAAAATCTTATTCTTTCAAGACATAGTTTCATTTTTCTGAGTCCAAAATGCAAAAATAAAAAGGTCTCAAAAGATTACTTTTTATCCTTTAACATAAGTTACTGTCTTGTTTTGAATGGCACGTCTTATTTAAAGATATCACCGTTATTTTCGACATATTTCATCATCATGTTCTACGTTTCTATGTATGCAAAAGTTTCAAATCTGTAGAGAAAGGATGGTGGTAGGATTTTAACAGAAGACACTCACACCCAACCATTTTCCATCAAAAGTCGATGATGATCCTCTTTTAATTGTGAGAAAAATACAACAAGAGCTAAATAAATAGATAATAGAATAGAATCTAATAGTTTTGAGAATAAATGATCCAGATCCTGTAGAATTGAGACACTTTTCCCTCATAAATGGAAATTTGATGTTTAAGTGTTGTGTAAAGTAAAGTCAGAGAGATCAATCTACCAATATATCATTGTTAAGTTCTGCAAGTTTCTCATAATATGACGTCATTTCTCTTACCTTAGCTATTTGATGGCACATCTCCAGTGGTGATTCCATCATAAAAAGAGATAAGCTTAATTCGAAAATTTGTTTCTTATTTTTATAAAAAAGATTGCAGAATCTCGGCAATCGAAAGAATTCAATGAAGTTGTGTGGAAACTGCAAAAAAATTCCACAAAAAAAGAAGAGAATCTAACAATTTCTGAAAAACTAGAAAAACAAGAATTTCCAAGAAATGGAGAAAAGGGAAAGAAAAATAGGTGTAGAAGGAATTTAAAAAGTACAAATCATGATAATATTCAAATGAAATCAAGAAGTTGAAAAGTTTTCGAAAATCAAAGAAAGTTAAAGTCTTAGAAACATGAGATATGTCTTACGAACAGAATGTCTTAGGTGTATAGAAGAAGAGAAATATCTTAAATACATTCACAATTGAACAATAAAAAAAGAATTACTGACAGATAAGAAAACATCTTATTCTTAAGTGTGAGAACAGACTTAGGATCGATGTCCTCGATTAACTTCATACTTAACGAAGGAAGAAGACGATTGATTGTGTGAAGTCCTGTATTCTACGCTATCCATATCGAATCTTCAATTACACATATTTCTTGATGAATTTAATTTATTTGAATATTGTATCGATGTTAAATGAATCACTATTAAAGACTTTTTAGAAACCATATAACAATCAGAATTTTCCCATTAGCTATTTTAACGGTTTTTCTAAATGATCAATTTATTAATTTTCGATTAATCGTATGTTGTTCGATAATGACATGTTTACTCTTTACCAAAAACTAAAGAAGAAGCTCTTTCAGATCTTTTTTAGTCAATACTATGAGTTAAATGCTTCAAGAAAATATGTTCGATAGCATTGAAACATTTGACTTTGAGCTTATTTGTATTCAAGTGAAGATGGATTTGATTTTATAGCTGTCAAGAAAACGAACCAAACTTCGATAATGACGACAACTAACTAACGTGGAGATTACTATTATCTGGTTTTCACTTATGGTAAATTTTTGAATTATTCATGATATCAGTTCATCTATCTTATCAACTTAATCTTTAGTTGGCTGTAGAGTAATATTACATAGAAAGCTAATTTGATTTGGTTAAAAAGTAGTATTTATCAAGGTTGAAAAACGTTAATACAATGCTTACATGGTTTTTGTGTAGTGGTTGTGGTTGTAGTTGCTGTTGCATTTGTAATTGTATCTGTCGTTGTATTATTCATTGCTATTCATTATCATACAAAGTTTTGTTTATACAAATGAGATATTTTAGATTTGATATGTCTTGTGTATCTAATCTTTCATGCAAAACGTCTGCGTTCATTGGACAATGAAAAGTCAATAAAATTTTTGATAATTCAATGCGATGTGATTCGATTGGATCAAATCAAAACGAATTGAATTGAATTTTATGGAATCCATTAAGACTTTCCAATATTCTGTTGTTATATCAACAGTGTGAATGAAATGAATTTCGAAGAATGTTTGAAAGAAGATACTAATAGTGTAATGATAAGTTTTTACGAACTCTCTCTTTGTCATTCATCTCATTATTAGATAGTCTGAATTCCTATATTCTCACTTCCCTAAAACATTGTCCTTGTAAGTGTTTTAAAGAGATAGCTAAAATCAGTAATACTATAAGCTATGAAAAAACAATTTCCATACACATTTGAATTACTAATGTCGATCGCAGTTATTTTGATAGAAGGCTACTTAGCAAAACTCAATATTCACCAGAATGAGCCTAGTATACAAAGGAAACTGTGAATGTAGATTGGTATGATATATTAGAATTGATTTGTTTTGATGGTGTTGCTAACATATGATACGTTCTAAAGTATCTAATCGCATAGATTGATCAAATCCTCACTTGTTTTTTTGGCTCCTCATATATCCTTTAAGGTTTACGGCATATTGATGCACTACTAGATATAAATGCAACGGATTTTTCTTCAAATCAATGAATATGGTTCATAAGAACAGATGAAATCTTTTTGTTTCAATGATTATGTGTCGTTTGGTCTGTGTTGTACTTCAGCTACTTCTTTTTTTAAAGGATCATTAATTCCCCTCTATCGCTTCTACAATAAAATGAACTGCATACATGAGGATGTGTGGACTATGAAGAAACAACTTTAAAAGAATCCCTCTTTCACTTCGGCGTCTAGACCACTGTTCATTTTCTTACTTGATATTGGTGGGCAGAGTCTCTGATTGAAACTTGGCACTGGATAACAAACAGGACGATTATGACAACGAGGATGATGAACACATCTATGGTTAGATTCGTAACAAGTGTTGTCTGAGTCTCTACATTCAGCTAGCTCAGAATAATCGACGAATACATCGACACAGATACCAATATCAATAGCGCCTGCTATATGATAGCAGGCACATGCACTGTTTGGTGAACATCGATCATATTGAGATATTCCATGACAGAATTGGGATTTTACTCGTACTAATGATACATAAACTAATAGTA